TTTATGATTGGTTTCCTTTTTGACCCATGCTTGTTAATTATATCCAGCTGTAGGCAAATTGCTCTTCCAGACTGGCAATACTGAGCTCTCAAGCTGCTCACATTTTCTGCTTCCCTTGATATAACCTTTGGAGCATGCATTTTCTTGACTAGTGTTTCTGAACTAATCCTCAGTTATGGATATTTTAAGGGTTCAAGGGACTTGCAAAATAATTCTGGTTGGGAATACAGTGAATGTCTTTCTATCTGACCAGAAGTTGCCCAAGACCACATAGAGAGGAGAATTTCCTGAGAAATGCAGACAAGTGGCATCACTATTCTTCTTATTCCTGGATGCTTTGTTGTCAAGATCTAAGAGCCGAGCTAACAGAACAGGTCACAGTGCAACTCCAGGGAAGAGTTAGGCTTTGTTTTACAATCCAAGGTTCCAATGCCCATCCAGGGCAATAGCTTTTAAGGGTATGACAAGCACTTTTTTTCCCCTCTGGAAGTCCCTGCTCTATTCATGGGCTTTATTATCAGAAATTCCCTGTCCCTCTTGTCCCTGGGGAGTCTCTTGACAACACACATACCCATGCAAAAAGTTTACTGTAAGAAAATGTTTAGAGGTATGTTTTTCTTCTTTTAAAGAGAAAATAGAAGTTTATTTCCACCTACCAGGTCAAGAGGCTCTACAAGAAGAATTGGCTTGAGGATTTTGACACCTGACTCAAATAAAAATTTTTGGAGATGAGAATTAGGTACATAGGAATTGAAAGAAAATGAAATTTAGAATTAGAAGACCCAGGTCAGAGTTACAGTACTGCTATTAGCCAGCAGCATAACCTTGGGCAAGTACTTTAATCCCTCTAAGCTTTGGTTTTCCTCCTCAGTTAAGTGAAATTAATCATACCTGCCTTGCCTCCTTCACAGAGTTGGAGTGAGGAAAGATCATAATCTATCATATTCATGTGGGTGAATATGATTTACAAACTAAAAAGCATAATATAAGTAGTTATTATTAACAAGCTGAGAATATTATCTAATTGCTTATAAATACATGCTGTGTGTACACTCATGATCTGCCACTGTGTAAATAAAACCTTGCTTCTGCTCAGTACAAATTTGTGCATAGTCCTTCAGTGAACAAGAGAAGGAAAATAACATTTAGCAGCTGTTATCAACTAGGCCCTTTCAT